TGGAATACCAACCAATCACAGCTGTGGAATACCAACCAATCACAGCTGTGGAATACCAACCAATCACAGCTGTGGAATACCAACCAATCACAGCTGTGGAATACCAACCAATCACAGCTGTGGAATACCAACCAATCACAGCTGTGGAATACCAACCAATCACAGCTGTGGAATACCAACCAATCACAGCTGTGGAATACCAACCAATCACAGCTGTGGAATACCAACCAATCACAGCTGTGGAATACCAACCAATCACAGCTGTGGAATACCAACCAATCACAGCTGTGGAATACCAACCAATCACAGCTGTGGAATACCAATCAATCACAGTTAAGTACTAAAGTAAACTAGCTCGCGCGCATCGAGAAAAGGGCGCTATCAGTTTTTATGCCCAGGACAAGCTATGCCAACACTTGTGAATAAGTAGTCTAAAAGGACTATCTTTACCTTCAAAGTGTCGATGCACATTTTCACTGGTTACCTCATCTTCTGTATCTACATTGAAACCAGTATCAGTAACAATATATTAAACTTTCCCCACTTTCTCTTCTGATTACAATACCATTATATTGGCTCATGACCACATAAGCGGTTTTCAGAACAAAAGTTGAAAATAATATCAGAAATTCTGGTTATCGTAAATGTCAGTATGCATGTGTGTCATTTCTCTTGTTTTTATCCTAGACTGTTCGACAAGGACATAACAAGGCAAGAACTGTAAGAAGAAGGATAAGCTGTGGTTGAAGCAGGCGGAGAAATAAGTTTTGTAACCGAGGTAAGAATACTCGAGTCCTTTTCACTCAGATTCTTGTTTGTGCAAAGACCGTTCCTTATTACATTTTTGTAACACGGCTAGTAGAACTGGTATCATCGACTTTCCTGAGATGACTTTGCTGCAAAAGTGATCAAATTCGTTTTGTTGTAGGGCTTTCTACAAGGCTTTCTGTTTTAAGGCGCTAGTTACAGCAGTTAAGCTCGCTAGAACAAGCTATATCAGATAATAAGTGCTGGACGTGAACCCTATGTTCGAGCACCATAGTCCGAAAAAGACCATCTTTATCTTCAGAGTGTACTGAATATATATATTTCCCATTTTATTGCTACTTAAGATGACAAACATCAAACGGTCGAACAACGAGCCTTTTAGTTCTTCTTCTCACTGATTGTTTACTTAATCAGTTATTCAAAAATTGCATGACTGCATCATTTAAAGTCACTATAGATTTTCCGCATCATACTCTCGCTTATTTTCCCTAGAGACTTTTAAACCACTCGGCTTAGACTATCCAGCAAGCATAAGGCAGCTTCTTGCGTCTCCAGGAAAGGAAAACAATGATCAAATCGCACGATTTTGTATTGCTTTACCGTGCGATCCAGCCGTGAGCTCATACTCAATAAGTTAATTCCAATTTTCTGATGCTAAAAACGCAATTAAGTGGCAGCTAGTTGAGAGAAAATAGGACTCTACCTCAAGAAAATTATTTTTTCGAAACTAAAAACCATTGTTTTGCACCTATAACGCGCCGAAATTGTAATAATTTTGTTCCACAATCCATCCAGGATAAGTAAGACTGTAAACAAAACAATGAGTAACTGGTCAAACCTTTAATTCTCTCCCCCTCTCTCTCTCTCCCTCTCTCTCTCTGCGCAACGCAGGCATGACATATATATCAATATCTCAAGGACAAAAATATCGTGAGTTTTATTTTAATGTCAAAAATGAACTTAACGGAAGAGAATGCTACGGTTTGCAGCAATGCAAAACGTTCGATATATTAGGGAGCGGAAATGATAAGCCCTCGTTATAGGTGTTGTCTGACAGAAGATTGAAGGATTTGTTCTGGAAATGCAGCACACCTTTTTGTTCTTTCTGTTCTGATATTAGAGGATACACTTGTTTAAAACGTATATTGGGCCAAGGTGACTTATCAGAGCGTCGGTTTCTAGAGACTCGATGGCCTGACGCTTTCAAAGATCGTGGGTGAAATGACGTGATGTTATCTTTCAATGATGATTTCTAATAGACCTGGAAATAATTCACGTTCTCCTGACAAAGGAAACAGCTGTTCATGGTAACATTTATCATCCATTAAAGCTGTGAGAAAAGGCATAATCAAATTTTTATGGCTCAGAGCCAGGGTGTTCAAAACACGGTTAACCTAACCCAGGGATAGTGTAAATGTTTAATTTAGTTTTACAGCTCCGCAGAGAAACGTTCCTTTTGCATTATTTTTTTCCCGATAGTTTCGAGTCATATTGAGAGAAGACTCTACAAGGCCTAAGCTCTTGTACACGCTATTCTACATGAGAAATTAAAGCCAAGGTTAACTTTTAATCCCAGATTAACGTTAACCNAGAGCTTCTCTTAGTTCCTTCCGTTACGCTTAAGAGAGAATTCCTTGGTCAAGATCCAAATCCCATTTTATCATTAAGGTGATTGTATCGTGATACTTCCAGCCAGCGGAATTGGCCTTTCCTGCCAATAAGACAAAGCGTCTAACCGCTGATTTCCTTCTGAACATTGCCTTTGTAAGCGCCGCCTTTTCCGAAGTATGTGGTTTTTGATAAGTAACACGTACATAAGATTTGGGTGGTAAATCAAAGGCACCATTCTTAACTTTTCTATACAAAAGGCAGTGAAGTAATCAAAACGTTTTTAGATCGAGGTTTTGGCGACTCGTAGGGGGCCAAAACCGCTAACACTGTGATTCTGACAATACTAGAAACGAGGTAGAGTTCTGAGCATCCGTCATTTTTACCTCATGTTATAAAGTCAGTCATACTATCAGGTTTAAGTGTGGACCTAAAACTCACCCCTCCACTCTCTCACTCATTGGTTTGGTTTTGTTTTCAGTAGTTGTGCTATTGTCTTCTGTTCATATGCCTGAGAGGTCAGAGAAAGGAGGAATTTGGGCTACCCTTGAATATTGATAAAACGCGCTCAGTTATAAGGCAGAATTCAGTCAGTTGGTCTTTCCATTCTTCCTTTTTTGTAAAGAGTTGGTTTTGGTCTCCCAGAGATCGGCTGCACATCGTGTCTCCTACCCTAAAGAGACCAGAGAAAGCCGGGCTTTGTTGTGTTTTACATCTTGAATGAAATCGAGAACTTTTTGGATTTCAATGAATTTGTTCAGGCTAAAATAAGCAGGTCTTGAAGTGGAAAAAAGCTAATTTTTCTCAATTTCTTAAGAACCTTCATGTAGTCAAAAATCGTGACCCCACTGTTGCTCAATTAAAAAAAAAAAAAAAAAAACATACGCGTTATTAATTTTTCACACAATAATTTCTTATCTTTCCTCGTAATTATCACAGCGTTTATTTACAGCCTGTTACCTGTTTGTTAAAAATAGTAAATTAGGTAGCGACTCGAACATAGCTTTTTTTAGAACTTCACATGAATGACTGACCGAAACATATTTAAAATCTCGGATAGAAAAGGACGGTGAAATTGAGTGTAGTCTCGTTGTCTCGGACTTCGTGTCGTTATAAACATGTTCCAACTTTGCTTGGAAAATGATACATAGTTTTAAGCATTCAAAGTCCGTGATACGACCGTTGGAGTCCAGCGGGCACCATCAAATATGTCTGGTGAGTCTTCACGAAAGTTTAGGTGTTTTTGGGTTGTAAAGGGAACACACGTTTTTGACGTCTATTGAACTGGGTTTAACTAGAATTAAGCCACTCGCGCATGCAAACGGAGGCATCAAGGGTCCTTATTCACTCTCTGCCAATGCCCCCTAATGGCTCTTCATCTGAATGACTTTAGTCTTCATGTCCCTAATTCAGGTCTCAGTACGCGCTCTAAAATATCTCATTGGTAGGCATGTTTGAGCTCACGGGACAACTGACCGTAGCAGACCAGAGGCGGCGGCCCCCTCTTGAAACGTGGGGGGACTTATCTTTCACTCAGTCGTGTGCATACCCCTATACTCAGATTCCTAAAAAAGCCCTTTGCGTTGTTCGTTGGCACAAGAAGACGTCTTTGCAATCTTTACGGTTTCGAGTGTGTCTGTAATCGATTTTCGACTTACTTTTATTTCTCTGGCAGTATGAAATCTTTCAGTTTCGCATTCGATTGGCTCCCGCACACAAAACTAAATCATAGTTAATTTCCTGGACGCTCCGTCCAGTTTAATGAAGAATTGCTGCAGTTGATAAGCTTCTAGAACACAGGCCGGAGTTGTTCAAAGAGAAGGTTTACAACATTATTTCGCCAAGCGCGATGCTGATATAAGGATTTGTAAAAAAATCACGAGGTTGAATATTTTGCCAATTTTTATGTTGCGTTAGTGATATTTTCGGCGCCAAAACGTCGGGGGGGGGGAATATTGTTTCGAGGGCCCCCCATCTCGTCGCCTATGCGGTGTAAACATGTTTTGAACGCTGACTCGAACAATTTCACAATTCGAAATGATCAACAAAGCACTAAAAAAAAAAAACAACAAGTCTACGAGAGCTACGACCTAAACAGAACTTCCTGTTGAGAACCCTGAGCAAGGTCAAGGACAAATCCATAAAAAAAAGAGCGATGAAGATGGTCATACGAAAATTAAGCCCCGTTACAACACATTTTGCTTAAGGTTAAAATAAATTTGCGTGTTTGTCTTTTCGTCACACCCACGACATTGTTATAGAGTTTGACTAATGGTCGTGGGTCGTGGGTCGTGGGTACAAGTCGTGGGTCGTGGGTGTGGGTGTGGGTGTGTGTAAAAGTCGTGGGTGTGGTTAATATTTAATAATAAAAATAACCATTTAAAATGTTAAATATAATAATACATAAATTTTATACAACCCTGTCATTCATTAATTTAACTGTTCTTTCTTCTAGTTATTTTATTTTGTTTATTCAATTTANGATTTTGACGGCGGAGGATTAAATTCGGTATAAGTCGAGGACTCTCCAGTTGCGTCCTTCCTCTTTCTCGTGGAATTCTGGGTGCTGTTGACATCGCCTTCATCAGCTGGATCTGGAATGAAGCGGGCGTATACAACCTTTAAGTCCGGTATTTGGGCAAGAGTCTTGCACGATGGGCCCTGTTCTCCTGCTAAGATATCACATACGAGATTCTTTCCGATTTTTTGTAGAAAATGCCTCTCACAAGCGCTCTTGATATTACCAATGGTCAATTCCTCCGTTTCGTCGAAGGGAACAAACTCTCTTGGCCCAATCCTTGTATACTTTTGGGCCTTTCCAGAAACTTCTGCTGACAAACGTTGAACTGTCAGTTCATCTTTCCTTCGATGGTCCTTGGGCTGGTTTTTTTTGGTACGCTTTGCTTTAACTTTTTCATTGAGCCTCTTCCATGCATCGGCCATGATGAACTCGAGCGTGTGACAGTAACGCACGCAATGCATGCTGGTAGTGGCAGCTCTCGGCTGGGTCGAATAATTTCATTTTATTTTACTTTGGTTTTATTTTATTTTACTTTGGTTTTATTTTATTTTACTTTGGTTTTATTTTATTTTACTTTGGTTTTATTTTATTTTACTTTGGTTTTATTTTATTTTACTTTGGTTTTATTTTATTTTACTTTGGTTTTATTTTATTTTACTTTCACTCTATTTTAAAAATAAAAAAATAAATTGAAAAATAAAAAAAAAATGTAAATCAAAATAAAAAAGAAAACAATTTTCTTTCAAAAATGCGGATTTTTCTATTGGCAGTTCTCGGCCACCATAGTCTGCCTTTTCACTCCGGAATAGGCCACAGTAGGGTGTTACCAAAACTAAGACCTAAGACCTAAAACCCGTCTTAGTTTTGAGATTACGAAAACT